GAGAGAGAGAGAGAGACAAAGCAGAATTCTTTTACTTGATGACCCAGTGAGTTGCGTCTATTCTTGCAAGAATAAAATCGTCGTTGTGTACGACTATCTACAGTTTCATCTTTGTATCAGGTATAGCATTAGATAATTAAGTACGTGTCAATATGACACGTCTCATTCTACGATCACGATGTTTTGACATTTGATATTCGAGAAATTAATTATAATCAAAAAAACTCTCGAAGGAATGAAAAAATAAACAAGTCAAGATAAATTAGTTTTCAAGTTATAAACAATACCGATCAATACTCTGTACATAAAAAGCTAAAAAAGAGCAATAAAAATTGAGCAATAAAAACCAACAATATATGAGTTCAAAAATTAATAATAACTGACGGATCAATATGCACACTATAGATGGATACGATAGATTTATTAGATTTAACAAACTATTATATAACATAGACAATATGAGACAATATAATAGTGATGAGAACAGAGATGATATCTGTGATTAACATATTCACGCATAATCTATTACATCTACGAATTAATTATGTATAACTAACGCAATAATTAAACTATGTCGTTATGTCATGTTAAATTGCATGTGAATAATCTACGGGTATCATGCATATACTTATTGTTCCAGTTTTAAGTATGTACATGCAAGTATGAGATATCTGTCTTCGTCTATTTATACTTTTGGCTATAGTTATGCTAGCATATAAATATTAATGTATCGTACTCGATAGAAAAGATGCCTCTATCTCACTAGCACGACAATGAAAAGTTCGCTGTTCTCGTTACTGGCAAATATTTTATAAGTCCATTATCTGTGCGTGTCGGAACATCGTAATGTTAGGTCACGATATTTCGCTATGGAATATTATCTATCTGTATGCTTAAATATATAAAACAAGCGACACACCGTATACGAAATTGAGCCTGTAAAGTCGGGAGTCGCAAAAGGCGCGTCAATTTCATCAAAACTTCACGATGTACGTGGGGAGAAAGATGGCGAGAAAAGTGATATTTACTCATAATTCATTATTCGCAAAATCGTTCGATCTTTATGGAATTATTGTTTCTTCGCCAACATATGATAAATATTCCACGCATCGTGACACATACGTTGTATTTACGAAGGTATAAATTACGGAGGTGTATATGCAATACATACGCGCGTCCAGTTGCGGTAACATGGATTATGGTGATATTATAGGGGGGTTAACCTAATCCGCGTTGAAGATTATCAAGAAATTTACAAGCTTCTATATACACACACGTGCGTACGAGTACTCGATATACGAACGAAGTCTCTATGATGGCCACAATGCTCTCCCATGGTAACCCGCTAATGTATTATGGATACGTGAAATTCGAAGAGAATCTCACTTACCGCAGGAAAACAGAAAATGTTTAAGCGAACATCCACGAGATCGTTTCACGCCACGTCTAAATTTTCCTTCTCACGTTTTGTCACGATAGACTCAAATCTCAATCCATTCCTCCTCAACAAAAGATTCTATTGTAGAGAAAATAGGTACAATTTATGTATATATTTTATTTCACGTGTTTACGTGTTGAAATTATTTTAAGAGTGGTAATTCTTTACATAATTTTTAATTTTCAACAAGATTTTAAGATATTTTTTTTTTCTTTAATATCGATTAGCCGTTTTTCTCCATGCGCTTGCGTCGATGCGACGTTCGGTTTCTCACATATAACGCACCGTGACGGCAGAAATTTATTTGCAACATGTTTTGTGTGCTGTAAAATTCAAAGTACCGAAAGGTACGTTTCGGTACGCGCAACGTATGGGATGCGAACGCGCGGGTAAGGTTTATATCAGGGTTATTCTCTCGAATGCACAATTTAATGTTGCGCGTAATATGCGGACGTCGTTTGCCGCTGGAAATACGTGTTTACGTATGGTTTATTCGATATGCAGTAAAGTGTACCCGGGAATCTCATAATCGCGAGGAACAAAGGAGATCGGAGTTCCATCCGTCGGCGATATCACGACAGGGCGCAACGTCACGTCGAGATGAGAATTTTTACAATTTCCATCCGCGGCAGACTGCGGTAACCCAATTACAAAATCACTAAGCTTGTTAAGCGTTAAAACCCCGTAAGTTTGTTTAGCCTGGGGCCGTTTGGTGGATGGACGGACAAAAGTAAACAATGGGACAGGAGAGGACAGGGAAAAGGAGGAAGCAACGACGGAAATAGAGGGAGGCGGGAGGGAGGCTGCTAGATAGACGAAGGGAGCGAGAGAATAATTCGGTTAGCGATGAGTCGCGTTGTTACGCAGCTCCGTATATTGTGTCCATTAACGGTATGCACGCTCAAACCTAATTATAATGGACCCCACCGCGTCGTGATTGGTAACGGTACCTTTTTTGCTTTTAAACAATGCTGCCGAATAGAATCTCCTTTATGCGCGTCCATCCCGCGCATCAGAAGATTATTTGTACACGCGAGGGTGGCATGTATATAGATCGTGATGAGCGCGCGATGCATTATGTCCGATACGGCGCAAACCGTAATTGAATGTCGAATTACGCGCTACCGATAGATACCACTAATAACATTTGCATTTCGCTATAACTTCATCCATCACGCAGAGAAGGGCCTCCGAGTAAAACCATATTGAATTCGGATCCAATGCTCGGCCCAAAAGATGATTGCGATAGTTGAAGATAAACAGAAATGATATTTATCAATCGATTGGAATACTTAAAGGGGAAGGAGGACCGTAACCTGTACCTCTTAATTTAAAATAATTAAAAAGATACAACTCTGTGCGCTTCATATCGGACACGCAATCAAATCAA